CTTACATCTTTGTACAGGTTTATTCTGATACAATAATTGTACATAAAGTTACTTCAACCCATTTTTCTTCCCGTTTACAATAAATCTAGTGGCAGAATAATACTGTAATTTCAGGATCCACTGACAGGCCATTTTGCTCAGGAGTCTAAAGGATACTGTGGCCATGCAATGCAGTGTGACAGGAAAAATGCCATCACTTTCTTTTCCATGGATTCGTAACTGAAAGTCTCCTGATTTTGGAAAAAACAGCCTAGAGGGCTGTGAGGAGGAACTGAATTAACGTTCCCCATTTTGAAGGGGGCTTTACTCCCAGGTGGAGCAACAATTAAGACTTCCTAAGGATCCTTGACCTAAACATCACCAAGAAGCTCAATACTCAATATCTGATTCTTAACAGTTAAAACCATCAGACGTAGACCGACATGGACAAACAAAACCAAAACAAAGAAGACCAGAAACCAAAGCCCCCGGCCTCTAACCCACGTACAGAGTGTCCCAGCAACTGTAACCTCTTACATTTTCTGCCACAATCCCGCCAGGTAGGCAGGCCACCAACCCATGATCCGGTCAGAATATCAGACAGTGTTACGCACTGATGCATTTTCTTTAACGAAGTTACTCACCCACAAGACGTCTTCCAAGCCCCGAACCCCAAACCTCTGCTGCAAAATTAAGGCCCGAGGGTCAGCGGCGCCTGGTGGGGGAAATCTGGGCACAGTCCTGGAACGCACGGACCAGGCAGCTGCTGGGACTCGCCCACAGGTTCTCAGTACCGGCAAGGGGCCCACGAGCCCCAGGCGAAAGATGCGTTTGGACATCTCTCCTGCCTGGCTCGATCACCAAACTTGTTACCCAACCAGGTTGTCTTACCCAACGCGCAGTGAGCCAAACGCTGAGTCTCCGAGGTTTGCAGGAAGCGAGAGTTTATCCCAGCCAAGAGAAGAGACGGGAGAACACATCTCAAACCTGCCTCCTGAAAGATGAGGGGCTCGGGGTATTTATGGGATGAGGAATAAAGAAGCAGGGTGGTGTGAGGTGTGGGGCTTGTGGGAAAAGGTGATTGGGCAAAGGTGCGGAATGCCGTTCTGCGCAGGCGTCACTAAGCTCCCGGCCCCTGCAGGTTGGAAAGGTCACGCGGCTGGCCGACACCCGCGCATGCCCAGCTGGAGGGTGGTGGGTGGTCCTATCTAGTCTCAACGCCCTCAGCTGAACTACACGCCGCTGAGACTCCAGGTCCCTAGAAAATAACTGGGGCCAACATCTTATTCAGGCTTCCTGCTGCTTGGAGGACACGCACGTGTTAAAATAGCCTCCATTAGTGAAGGCAGGTGAAATGGATTTGACTAATTATCACGCACGATTTCAAAACCATTGCCTCTCGTGTCTGTAAAGAGCAAAGCAACCTTTTCCACGTCTGTGACCCAACTGGGTCATATTCCCATTTGGGAACCAACCAAAGTGGGCAGAGTTAGTGACATCCCAAACTGGCCTAGGCCTGGGCCCCTGAAGCAAACACTGGCCGGGGCTGGGGCTGCAAGGTGTCCAGGATTGGCTTAGATGTGTCAAGTGCCTCCCAAATTATCCCTGCTAACCCCCACCCCCATGCAGACCACATGGCTGCTCCATGGTGGGGGTAGGAGGTTGGAGCAGAGAGGGCCAGGAATCCCAATGCCTCCAATGATTCCTTTGCCTGAACACACACCCTAGTGCTAGCAGCCAGACCAAGTGCTGGGAGTGGACCTTGTTTTCTGCATCCTCCCATGAACCTGGCACAGAAACACAACTGATGTTCAGTAAGTGTTGAGTGAATTATTAAAGTGCAGCCTCCTTTAAAACGTATGTTAACCCTCATGATCTCATTTGATTTGTACATCACTGGTACTGGCAGGAGCGCTATCCCATCACACCCATTTTACAGAGAAAACTGAGCAAAGCCAAGCAGCTAATCAAGATCACGACAAAGTCAGCCAACATCTTTTTGCACCTGAGCCTGAGGCTCTTCCTGGCATAACACTGTGACAGGTATGTCCTGAGCCGGGAGAGGCAAGGGACCAACAGAAGTGTCCCAAGAGGGCACAAAAAAGACCCAAATGAATTGTGCCATTTCTAAAACCTTGTTATATAGGCTCATTTCACTTTGATACTATCTCTAAAGCTGAGAGTAACAGATGCAAAGCCCGCATTTTTATACAAATTGGCATATATGAGTTCCATGGTTTTTTTTAGTTCAAGTATAGTCAGTTACAGTGTGTCAATTTCTGGTGTACAGCATAATGTCCCAATCATACATATATACACATATATTCATTTTCGTATTTTTTTCATTAAAGTTTATTACAAGATATTGAATATAGTTCCCTGTGCTATACAAAAATTTGTCTTCATCTATTTTTATATATAGTAGTTAATATTTGCAAATCTCGAACTCTCAAATTTATCACTTTTACCCTCTTCCCCGCTCTGGTAACCATGAGTTACATGTTTTAGCTCCCTGAATTTCTTTTTGAGAAAATTTGGTATGAATTACTTGAAATCAATGTTAAAATCTATCAGGTGACGAAACAGGGAACCACCAAGTACTCCTATCAAAAATGTTTATATTGAATCTAAGCCTAACTTCGGTTTATAGGAAATGAGACACAAACAGGAATTTGTCACTTTACAAGACAGCTGGCCTGGTCTTTTTGAAAAGTCAGTGTTTACAGAAAAAAAGTTCTAGGTTAAAAGAGACTCAAGAGATAACCCTTCAACCCTGACTGGATCCTTGTTTAAAATACATTAGTAGAGTGGGGGAGGGTACAGCTCAGAGGTAGAGCAGGTGCTTAGCATGCATGAGGTCCTGGGTTCAATCCCCAGCACCTCCATTAAAATAAAAAATAAAATTAAAAAAAACCTTAATCTGCGCCACCCCCCCCCCAATAATACATTAGTGGAGTAAGTAATGAAACTGGAACACGGATTGACTACGAACTTAGCTTTGTTAGGTGTAACGGTGGAACTACAATTATGTAGAAGAATATCCTCTCATTTTTAGGAGACGTGTGCTGAAGTATTTAGGGGTGAGGTGTCTTGGTGTCCGCAACTCATTTTCTAATGGTTTGACAGTTTTATATACACACATAAATAAGGAGAGCAAATGTGGCAAAATGTTAACAGTTGTTAGATCTAGGTAGAGAGCATATATGGGTGTTCATCATGTCATTTTCTTCAACTGTGTATTTTGAAAATTCTCACAAAGTTAGGGGATATCTTTGATTTTCCATTTATATCATCACTTTAAAAATGCCCTGTCCCGGTGGGCATTTGGGTCTTTTAGGGTTTTCCAAATACAGTCTCTGGACCATCAGTATGAGAATCACGAAATAACATATACAAATGGCCAATGAGCACATGAAAAGAAGTCAGCATCAGTCAAGAAAGTGCAAATAAAAAGCACACTAGGATGCCATGGCACACCCACTAGAATGGCTAAGCGTGAAAGGCTGGCGACACCAAGCGTTGGTGAAGATGTTCGGCAACTGGAAGTCTGGTATGTTGCTGATGGGATCATAAAGTGGGATGCCACTTTGGAAAACAGTCTGGCCCTTTCTTACAAATTGAACATGCCCGTACCGTACCACCCAGGCACCAAAGAGAATTGAAAACCTGTGTCCACACAGACTTGTATTGGGGTGTCCATAGCTTTGTATTCGTAATAGCAAAAAACTGGAGACAACGATACTATCACACCTGGAGAGAAGAGAAACAGACTGTGATCAGTCCCTACAAAGAGAGGAGCTACCGATACGTGCAGCAACCTGAACAAGCCTTTAAAACCTTGTGCTGAGCTAAAGCAGCAGACACAATAGAGGATGTAATGGACTGTTCCTTTATGTGAAATCCTAGAACAAGCTACGCTTAATCTATAGGCACAGAACGCAGATTTGCCTGGGGCTGGAGGTCAGGGAGGAGAGAGCATTGACCACAGAGGGACAAGAGGGAAATTTCTGGAGTGTAGGAACTTCTCTACATCTTGATGGGCAGTAGTTACACAGGTGTCAAAAGGTACTCTTGAGATGGGTGAATTTCTTCTGCGCAAATTATATCTTAATAAAGTTGATTTAAAATAGACACTTTTTTTTTCTCTGTGTGGCAGTATGGACTCTTTAGCTAGTGTTTCTCAGAATGTGGTTTCTGGACCTTGTGCATCAGTATCACCAGGAGAGCTGGTAAAAACTTGACTCGGGGGCTGCTACCCTACCCTCGACCCACTGAACCTGAATCTCAGGGCGTGGGGGAGGATGCGTTGTGTGTGCTCAACGTAGGCGACTCTTCCACAAGTGGGGTGTCTGTCGCTGCACCCTGGAGGCTGCTATGAGCAGCTCTGACCTAGGGCAGAGGCTGGTCTCCAAAGCTCCGTGAAACAAGCCAGTGCTGGTGGCAACATTATTAGTGTGGATTTCAAACAATAGCGGTTGGCAGTGCCTGGTGGGAAAAGAGACTTGGAAAATTACTCAGAGGAATTCCATGCAGACCAACCTGCCGTGTAACTTTTTCAGCTTCCATTTAGTCGAAAGGGAAAGACATGCTGTGAAGGTGAGGTGAGGATGAAACTTGTGAAAAAGTACCTCAGCGAAAGGACTAATTGCAGGCAGGGCAGACACAGGAATATTTTCTGAGGCTAGTACTCAAGCCAGGCTGCACAGCAGGATCTTGTGGACCTTTAAAGAAATCTAATTTATCTTTTTATCAAAGTAGTACATGGAAACTTTTTTTTAAGTGAATATGATTTTAAGTTAATAGTACTAAAGGATGTATACTTTTAAAAAGAAAAACATCAGTCCTTCATTCCTGTTCCTTGGAGACAAACATTTAAGTTTTTAAACCTGAAATGTACAGTTTGATGACGTTTTACATCTGTATCCACCCAACCCCTCCCAGATCAAGATCTAGACCATTTCCAGCACCTTTGAATATTCCCCAGTACCCCTGCCCAGTTAATATTTCCCCCCTCCCAAAACCACTATCCAGACTTCCGTCACCATCAATTAGTTTCAAGGTAACCACTTTAAATTATTGTTGTTTCTTCTAGTATTTGTCTCCGTATTTCTCAGTAATAAGTGGACACCACTATCCCTTGGTTTGCCAACTTTGGACAGTAATTAGGAGCTTCCTTCCTAGTGTGATAGATCGAGGTTCACTCTCTTACTCTCCTTCCTCACCAAGAGAAGCTGAAAAACAATCAGATTTCCGGGCCCCAGCACCACACCACCCACCCTGGGCACCCGGATCTTTTAAGCTCCACAGGTGATTCTAACTGGCACCCTGCCCAGAGGTCCCCAAGCCAGTGGTACTTGGCCCTGAAGCTGATGTTAAAGCAACCCGATAAGCCAGACTCAGATGTTCACCAAGAAAGGCTTTGAAGTGAATTGAAACGGAACATGTCATCAGACTCTGGGGCTGATTTGTAGCTGGAATAAGGAGTAAGCCATGAGAAACACCAAAGTGTTTCTAGGATTTTTGTTGCTCATCAAGTGCTTTCTTAGGACTCTCCGCCCCGTCCAGGCAGCCACACATCCTGTGCAAGATCTTAGTTTAAATGGACCAGTAAAGGTTTCTCTGTTTGAGAGGAGTCTGGATGCCCAGTCTGCCTTGAAAGAGCAGCTGGGTTTGCCCAAGATGGCTGCTCAGCACCAGGATCAGCCAGAGGCAGTCTACTGAGTTCGAAGAAGTCTTTCCCGGCTGGAGACTAAACAAACCCTCCCCCCCACCTTGCAGCCACTCCCTCTCGCCTGAAGGCCCTTCACTGAACCTGAACATAGACGTCGTCAGGCTGGCATCCCCATGGTTGTGGTTGGAAGAGCTGCCCACATTTCTGATTTCCTTCCTCACTCGGACCCCAAGGTCTGTGGAGGCTTCACCCAGATGGCTCTGTCCTCTCTGCATCTTCCCAGCCTTGGGCATCAGTTGGTCGGAGGCCCCGCCAGCCCCACGTGCCAGTCTCTGCAAAGAACTTAGGCTCTGCCAGCTCCCAGGGCAGGGACGGGAACCCCTTCCTCTCTCCCCCTGGGCCGGCCACTCCTCCTGTGCTGCCCTCCACAGACGTCAGTGCGCCCAGCCGCCTGGAAGTGGAATTTATAGCAACGATGTTATCACTGCCAAATCCTTTTGCCACAAGATGGGAGACCCATTTCATCAGTCTTCGTGGGTCAGTGAGAACCCGGGTTGGAATCACCTGTGACTGTTATCCTTTCTGTTCCTCTATGACTGAAAGGGTGTGGACACGGGACTAAGCAGGTAAGATAGGGGATGGGAAATGACCTTTTAATGTGGAAGAAATTGAGGCTCAGGATGCTAAAAACAAAAAGGAAACTCAAGATCACGAAACAAATCCACTTCAGCAGCTGGAGAAAGAAATGGGCGTGGAAGGTCCCCTTTTCCTCGGATGCGCTCTTCCTGTGCCAGAAGTCCGTCCCTGGTTCACTGAGGCAGGGCCACTGAGCAGAGCAGGGAGACTTGGAGGCCTGGGTCCAGGAAAGAGGCTGCTCCAGCTCTCAACCTGGGCTCCCCCAGGGGCTGTGTGCCCCCAGTAGGCTCAGGATGGGCGGAACCCAGGTCACTTGGTCCCCTTGGCACAGACCCAGGGTCTGGGGGAGGAACAGTCCAAAGCCACAAGCTTGCCTTTCTCCAGGCCCCCGCAGTCGAGATCCGGCTCATCCTGGTCTTTCTCCGGGAGTCTGGGGAAGGCAAGAGGAAGGGGCGGTGCTCAGAATGACAGGGCCCCCCAGCCTGTGTGCCTGCTGCCTGGGTACCCCTGGGATTGTTGCATGGAGCCCGGGGGCCTGGAAAGAGCCCTGGGGTAGGAATCATGAGGATGCGCCCCAAGCTGTCAGTTGTGTGGTGACTGGTGAACTGCCAAACCTCTCTAATCAGCACAGCCCTTACCTGTAGAACAGGGTGACCATCCTGCTTCGGTAAATGCCGTGGGGGACCCAAGCAAGGTGATAGGGGCTGAACCTTAGGACAGGTGGCAGGGAAGGCCTCCAGCCCTCTTTGGTGCTATAATGTCACTCTGGTCACACTGGGGAGCCCATGGTAGTGTGTTGGGGACAGAGGAGGCCACCCCCCAGGCCCACAGTCACTCACAGCTGGGGAGGCAGGGGGCTCCCATCGATCCAGTGCCAGCCCTGGGGGCCTCGTCGGGCCCCCACCCAGGAGTAGTTGGTGACTGGGTATCTGCTCAGGAAGTCCTGAGGGCAAAAAGTAGCTGGTCATTCATCTCTGGACACTGGTACAGCTCACCTGGGGCTTCCATCCCCCCTACCCACGGCCCATGCCCCAGGCTTCTGCATGTTTCCAGCTCCCCAGCCAGAGAAGAACTCGATTCAGCCCAACTCTCCCAAACACCAGGAACTGGGAAGCTGTATTTGATACTTGCTGGTTGCCAGGCACCGTGCTCAGGACTGGGAACCAGAAACGCGGGCGACCCCATCTCAGCCTTCACGGGGAGAGAGAATGAGATCGCCAACCCCCAGGAGCAACGCACTGTGGGTACTGAGTGGACAGAGAAGCGAGGAAGCCCGGGGAAGAGGGTGAAGGACCCGAGCAAAGCTAGGCAGCTACAAAGCCCATCATCCGCGTGACCCACAGCAAATAGCCTCGGGGGCAGGGGTCGAGCGTGAGGGCCGATTAGGCTGCAGAGGTGGTCGGGGAGCAGATGGTCAACAGCACAACAGCCAGCGAGAGCATAAACTAGATCGCACCCATTAAAGACCACTGAAAACAAGGGCGAGTATGAAGTCCACAGAGCAACGTGGGGGCAAAGTTCTAGCACATGAAGGGTGCCAGGAAGTGGAAAAGCTGTGGCGTGACTGTAAGAATGAAAAAGCGTGTGCGCACATGGACAGAAACGCACAAGGAACAGCAAAAACCAAAACTAGTGTGTTAGAGAGCTATCAGAGACACTCTTCTCTTTTAAATATTTGTCCTCAATGTCATGTTGTTTTAGCAACAAATTAAAGACAAAAAAACCCCAAACCTGTATTTGAAAAGTTTCAACCTGGAAAGAGATGTTTCAATATTGCAAGTCCTCGTGCGGGGACTTGGCCCAGGTAGGGCAGTGGGGCTGGCGCAGTCCACACCAGCCCAGCCTCCGGAGCATAAGCTGTGCTTCATCACAAGAGCGGCCACATCATTCCTGTCGCTCGGATGGGTGATTCCACTTTGGGCAAGAAATCCAAGAACACAAAGGGGAGAAAATAAACTTTCCCAAAATTACCACAGTGCTATTTATAAAGAAAAAATGGAAACTGCCCAAATACTCAGCACCAGGAAATAACTAGGCAAATGATGAGATGTCAACATCATGGAAAATTACAGTGCTGTTAAGGATTAAGCACACAGAAGATGTCCTTATGCAAGAGAACATAAAACACGCAATCATGCCAAGTGGAAAAATGCAGACTGCGCCAACAAGCACACAGCGCTCACAACACCAAGAAGCATACATTCACTTTGGTGACGGTGAGAGGTGGCCTGGCACAAATGAATGTGACGTATGTTCAGTTCTTCCCTAGATAAGTGTTTCCGTCGACAGAGACGAAAGCTTGATATTTAACCCTGGGGATTAGAAAGAAAGCAAGCTCCAGAGTGTTGCCCGTCCCCTTGGGGCCACCTCGATTCAGCCTTCAGGTCTCAGTTGAACGGTCACTTCCTGTAGGGACGTCACACCGACCCCCTCCCCTGTGCTGCCACAACCTTCATCGTTTAGAACATGGGATGTGGCATTTGACTAGCTTGCTTCCTTGTCAATTTCCTGAATCAGACAGTGAATATGGTGAGGAGCGGGGGCCTGACTTACTCACCAATGACCATTAGAATCCAGCACATAGTAGGCCAGCTGAACAAAACTGCTCCCCAGTGTCACTGCCAATCACCAGCAAGGGCCACAGGGAACACACGGGCTGTCAGGCCAACCTTGTGCCCAGAAGTATCAGTGCAGGTCCATCCTCCCCTCAAGGGAGCACCAGCTGGTCAACCACTAGGAAAAGACGCCAGAAGGAGCTTCCAGGCTGAAGGGCACCAGTCTACCCCTTCTGAAATCCCACAGTGCAGACGGCATGTGAAAGTGGAAAGGGCCAGTGAGGACAGCTAAGGCACAGGTGGCCTCGCCTGGGCTGGTTATTTCCTTTCTGGCTGGGCTCCATGGGCTGGGGCCTGCAGGCAAGGCTGAGCAGCAGCTCTGGAGGGGATGAGAAGGAACCTGGGCTAGCTCGGAGCTGAGAGTCAGCGGGCAGAGCAGACCCAAGCATCTCGCTGCCGTGGCTGCAGCAGACCTGGGGCTCCTGCTGGCCAGCACTATCTTCCTGGGAGCCATCAGCCGCCTGTTCAGGAAGGCACACCAGAGCTCAAAGCTTCTCCCCAGGCTGAGAAGGGGGTTATCACTGTGGAAAGTAGAGCTTTGGGGACAGGCCCCCCCACTCCATATTAAAATTCTAGTACTGTGACTTGTACGCTCAGGGACCCCAAGCAAGTCACCAACCTTTCAGAGTTTCTGTGTGGTCCTCTGTAAAATGGGGTGGGGGATGTTTGTAATGAGGCCTGAGATAATGCGGATAAAGCCAGGGGCGTGTAATCTCCAGTCTGCTGGGTGGTGTGCAAAGCTTTGTGCCTACCCCCAACACACGGGACCTCATGTGATGCTTGGCATTGCCAAGGTGACCCTGCCCTTCTCTCTGTCCTAGCCTCAGGCCACCTGGGCCCCCTCCACTAACCTGGGGCCTCCTGGTGACCTGAGCCATGGCCTGTCCCTGCCCAGCCCCACCCACTCCAGTCTGTCCCTTTTTTCCCTTGCAACTCAGACTCCATTAACCCATTCTCATTGTTAGCAAAAATTATGGTGTGGGAAAATCATTGTCTAGAGAAATAAGTAACTTTCAGAAACTTCTACATCTGGGGCCTCTGCTGCCTTCGGCTGGTGCTTCTCCAATTTTGCTTCTGCTACGGGAGGTGGGGAATGAGATCCTGAGCAGAATTGACTTGAAATCTCGTATTTTACATCTTAAAATTAAAGTAAATTATTTTCTATGCTTTCATACATTTCTTTTTTTTTAAAAAATCATAGTAAAATATACGTATCAGAAAATTTACCATTTCAGCCATTTTTAACTGTATAATTCAGTGGCGTTATGTTCATTCGCACTGTTGTGTGACCATCACCCTCATTCCTCTCCAGAGCTTTTTCATCCTCCCCGACTGAAACTCTGTCCCCATTAAACAGCTCCCACTTCCCCTCCCACGCTCCGCAACCACCATTCTACTTTCTCCATACATTTCTGCTTTAATATTTAAATGTTTTAAACTATAAATTTGAGTCTTCTGATATATATTTATTTGTATTTTCATCTTTGTACACTCAGGATGTGCTTACAGTCAATATGTACATTGCAGGAAGCTTCTTCCTCCCCCAACCCTGCAAAACAAAGCTGTTCTTAAACCAGTGGTGCTTGAATCTAATGCCTGATGGCACCAGAGGAGCTGAAACTCTCTTTTTCTCTAACCATGAGCAAAACCATCTTGGGGAGGATGAGATGCGTGTACTGGCTCCCCAGCAAGCCCCCGGGGTTTGGAGCCTGGCCTTTGCCAGCAGGCCCAGCCCCCTTATCAGCCTCCAGCCTGACCTTTGCTGCTCTTCCCCACCGCTACCTCAGAGCCCCCAGGAACTTCTGGCTCCACAGTCATCATTTTCCAGATTTTAATTGCCTGAGACCCCGCATCTCCACTTTGGTCTTTCTGCAAGGGGCTTTTTGGAAGGTCCTTCTTGGAAAAAGCATATCTAAATTTTGTGACATATTTTCTGAATATATACTTGTTATAAATGATTGATCCTGTATGCTTAGTTTTAAAAGTAATCTTTATCATAAGCTTATTTGCAGTTTGGGTAGTCAGGCCATCTCTCTCCTTGAAGGACCCTCAGCCACGGGGAGGCCATTTGTTCAGCCAAGGTATGAGGTCATTGTGGCCTAGACCTGTCAAATGAGGGCAGGGACCTTTTATTTCACCAGTCTTCTGATGACACTTGCTGTGCTCAGTGGGTCTATCTTAGGAAAGGGGCTGTTAAGTTCCTATCTGGCTTGGTCCCCTCCCCAGTTCCAGACACTCTCTAGGGACCCGTCAGGTTCCCGCTGGCCTTCATTTTGCAGATGCAACCAGGTTGGGCCAGGCAGAAACTGTTACATACTGATCTCTTGCTTTAATGGGCTACGATTCCGCTAGCATTTCCCTGTAGTCCTAGCACACACTTTTTGTAGAACATTTAGAAGATTTAAAAAAGCTTTCAAGAAGCAGAAGGAAAAAAATCATTCATAATCCTGCCTCCAGGGGTAACCACTCTTAATCTATTTCCTTTCAGTATCTTTTCTTTGCATATATATCTACCATATTGGGATCACTGATACTGATTTTTTTTTTTCAATCTGCATTGCATCCTTTTCATTTCCCTAAGCTTTCTGAAAAATATATGTTATCCTTGGAAATAAAGCAATCCACGTTCACAGTAAAACACTTTCTCCAGCAAATTTTTATATCCTCTTCCAGAAGACTCTCCCAGAGAAAGGAAAAAGACAGAAACTGCCTTCCCTGTCTTGTCAAGTGGAATACTTTTGATTTCAGGACTGGGTAGGAAATAAACCTTCACGCATGTGAAAATCTTAAGTAAAATATTATCAAGTCAAATACAGAAGCATTTCGGGAAGGGAAAAATCATGGCTAAATAAGCCTTATCACAAGAGGACAAGAATTTTAAAAAATCAGTTTGATTCACCTCAAGATTAAAGGAAGAAACAAAAAAAGATGTTACTATCTTAATGTATCCAGAAAGGTATCCAATGAAATTAGACTCATTCATGTTTAAAACTCTAAGTAAGATAAGAATAGAAGGGAACTTCCTTAACTGATAACAGAAAAGATTGATAAGAATAGAAGGAGATAATGTTAGCAAAATTTTGGAAGCTAGACAACTTTAATTGGCTTCCAGACCCCAGAAAGCTTAGTGATTTTTCAAGGAAAGGGAAGAGTGGGAGGAAGCTGAGAAATGTGCTAGTTTGTATTGAGAAGCCCCCAAATGCTCAAATATTAGAGGCAACAGGTCTCTTTGAAGGCCAAGGTACAGGAAAAGGGGCCTGGAAAAAGGACTGGTTGAAAGTATATAAAAGGAGCAGTTGGACCTCTTTCCCATCCTTTAAGATCATCCACATCTCTGTGCAGCCAGGTAGCAGAACTCTTTGGGGAGATAAAGCACACGGGACTTGGGGATTCAGAGCTCCAGGTTTGACTGGAGGTTGAGGGTACTTACACTAAAAGGAAGAGATCAAGCATCACATTCTTACAGGTGAAACCTCTGCTTCCTTCCCCCACTGCCCCTGCAAGGCTGATAGTTTAGTTCACTAAGGAATTGGATGAGTCCCTGCCTGATTTTCCTATTGCAAAGCCTGCCTCTAATAAGACCCAATGCATCTACTCACCCCAACCCCCCGACAGAGCTTCCAGCCTGCTATCTAGTGCCTTACTCCTAATTACCACAGCTAAGGATCACCAGACATATAAGGACATTTTTAGATATGACAAAGACCAAAAAAAGAAAAACAAAAAGAAAAAGCACAGAATAATGCACAGTACTTGCAGAAAAATAGAGATAATGCAGGGAGCAGAAGAAAATTTCCAAAATACTATAATTAATATTCACAATGAGATAAGAGAAGATGTTTCATCCTTGAAACAAGGAAGAGGACACCATAAAAAAGGAACACTTGAAGAACCAAAAAATGTTCTTAAAATTACATATAGGGCAGCAGAAGTAAAAATGAAGAAAAAGATCCACAAAGGAATATCATTGTTAAATTTCTGAACACTGAATAAGAACAAAGGTGAAGATGCTGAAATTCTCCAGAGTAGGGGTGGAGGGACATACAGAGGATTGGGAATCAGAGTGACTGAGACTTATTAATGGCAAGACTAAAAGTCTGAAGGCAATGGAGCAAAACCGGCACAACTCTGGGGGACAACTATTTCTTAGAATTCTATCCAAGCCAAGTTATCAATCGAATGAGAGGTCAGAGTAAAAGTATCTTTAGACACGAAAGATCTCAAGAATTTTTTTTCTAGGAAATTTACGGAGGATGTGCTTCACCAGGAAAAGACATGGTCTCTATGACACAAGGGATCTCACACCGGAAAGAGGCAAAGGCATACGGAGAATGAAGGCAAAAGAAATTCCAGGACAATAGCTGTGTTGCGGACTGGCTGCTACCAGTCCAGAGAGGGGCAGAAAAAAGAGGACTCCAAGAGGCGGTCTGGCCAACTCCCTGAGCTTCTTCACTTTACTTTAGGTTTCTGGTTTTTTTCCTCCTGGTCCATGCTGCCTCGTCCACCTTGACTTTTGATCACATCTTCTTGTCATGTACACTCAAAGCATTGTGCACCCTCCCTTCAAAGCACAGATCAGTATGGTGATTAAACATCTATTTCTGTGGTTTCTTGATTAATGTCTGCCTCACTCACTGCTCTTAGTCATGTGAAGGTGGAAGCTGTTCTGTTCTGGGGCTTCATTGTATCCCCAGTGCCAACTGCAGGTGTCTAAAAAATTTTTACAAAAGCAATGACCAAAGGAATGCTGCATTTTCATGCCTATCAGGCAGCTAATATAAATTCTTGGCAACTTCCCTAAGTTAAATAAAATTAAAGCAAGGGCTAGAACTGCTTTTTTTTTTCTTAATGAAGTCACTGGGGATTAAACCCAGGACCCCATGTACGCCAAGCATGCACTCTACCACTGAGCTATACCCCCGATCCTCTGGATCTGGTTTACAAGTCCTTTTTTGTAGCCACTTTCAAACCCATTGACTGGATTATCACAGCAAATTGTCACACCCCTGAGGACAGAGTATACTACCCTGTCCCTTTGATGTTGGGCTTGGCCATGTTCTTTGCTTTGGCCAATGGAATGTTAGCAGACATGCCACGGGCAGCTTATGAAGAGTTTCTCTCAGGAAGAACGAGACTCATGGAGCAAACACAGACCCAACCAGCAGGCTCAAGCTAAACCTAGCCAGTCTGCATCCAGAAGCTAAGCTGTGCCGCCAAACCCATCAACAATCAAGAAACATGCTTAATGTCTTAAGCCACTGACTTTTGGAGTGATCTGTTACCCAGCATTATTATGGCAATACCTGACTAGTATACCTACTAAATGTAATATCTTTTCCATATAGTCCACATAAATTTCCTCCCAGAGATGACACAGGTGTCTCCCCCATTGACCAGCCAGCACGGGCAGGTTCCTGAGCTCACTGTTCACTGGTTGGCCACCAGGCTGGACAGTAGCGTCCCTGCTCCATCCTTCTCAGCTCTACCTCCAGTTCTTGGAATGCAGAGTAAACTGAAGACCTTAGAGACCTGACTTTGTTCCTCCTGAAAGTCACTTTATTTCTCGAGGCCTTGGTGCCTTTTTCTGTACTGTAGAGTTGGACTAGATCTTTGAGATTCCTTGCAGGGCTAGGACTCTGCAATGTGTAATGATAGCCACGCCCCGCTCCTGCCCACCTGTCCCCCTCCTCACCTGGATGTGGTTCAGCAGAGGGAGGGTGGCATGGTGGGCTGAGCAGAAGGCCCGGCTGGCCTCCCAGGCCTCAGCTTCGGTGGAGACGTAGTAGCAGTGCCCCTCGGACCACAACCAGCCCTGGGGGCATGGCCGGCACCTGGCCCCTGCTAGAACAGAGACCACCAGTGAGCCATAGGGTAAACTGGACAGAGCTGAAGGTACGCATGTTAAAAAGTTGAAATCTGCCTGCCGCCTTGGCTGAGGGAGCAAATCTGGAGACCTGGAACTGGTGGGGCAAGCAGGGAAGGCGGCCCAGGGAGGGCTGGACAGCTTGTGCACAAGACCATGGGCAGGGCAGCTGTCCCCTGTCAGAAGAGGCTCTTCTCTCTCACCTTTGCTCAATGAGCCCGTGTCTTCCTGCTGCATCTGCCCAGTGGGGATGTCTTTTTCTAATTCTCACAAAGGTGCTGGAAGAACTAGACATTGTGCTGCAGGAGCAGGGAGGAGAGGGGACCAGGGGGAGGGGCCATACCTACTTTCGAGGCCAGGACCACGACAGCCATGGTGGACACCGCCAGGAACATGGCCATGACTGCCAGGGCCCAGCGCAGGGACCTCAGGTACATGGGCAACCCTGCGGGAGGGGAGGGGACAACCAGGAGACACAGGTTAGGAGACCATCCCAACTCAGGACCATGCTGACTCCTACACCAACATTGCACCCACTCCCTCAGCCCAAAATACCAGGATAAACCACTCAATTTAGGTCAGAAGGTCAGTTTGGGAGAAAAATGCTAGAAGATATTCTACTTCTTAAATAAACTAGAAGATATAAGACTCTCTTCAAGAAAGAGAATAATTGACTAACAACCACTTACCGAACACCTGATGTGCATGAGACGCAGGGCACAAACAGCACCAAGGATGGAGCAAGGGCCCTGCACCCGGGGAGCTAATGGGACAAGCCAAGGTGCCAAGAGGTCACATTCCCACAAGACAGGAACAAGGACCAGATCTGGAGTTCGACAGACCCCCAAATTCAAGTTCAAGTCCTGACTCCATGGACCCCTCAAGTGTTCCTGGTGTTTTCCCATTTTCACATTGGAATCACACCTGCCTCTTCTGTCTCTCTCGGTCACTGGAAGCCACTAATGAAGCATCGTGCAGAGAGTGCTTTGCAGGCTGTAGAGCACTAGACAGATGTGAGCTGTTAGCTGCTCAAGGACCCAGGGGACCAGATGGCTGGAGTGAGGCTACAGAGGGCAAAGGGACACAGGAGGATCTCCAGGTGGAAAGAGAGGCGCAAAGGCTCAGAGATAGAGCACATTCAGATGCCACATCCTGCCTTGTTGATGGAGTAACTGGGGAGGCCAGAGGAGAAAACTTGGAGAAAAACATAGTGAATGCTTAATCACAGCTATCAACAGTTATAAGAACCTTTCCACCCAGAAAGACATACCCATCTGAAGTAACCAAGCACTCAGGATTTGATCTCTGCCACGACCCAGAGTGTGAAATCACTCAGAGCCAACAACTTGCCTCCAGGGCCCAAGATCCACCCAAATCTTGGGGATGAGGACCAGGAACGCACATAATCAATGTAAGGGTCCTAAGAACTCAATTATCGTATTTGCCAAAGCCTGAAACAGCAGAGGTAATTCTATTATTTTGAAAAGACTAATTCCATTTAAAAAACCATGTACAGTGAAATCTAAAAAAACATGATTCAAATGAACTTATTTACAAAACAGAAATATACTCACAAATATAGAAAACAAATTTATGGTTACCAAGGGGAAAGCGGGGGTGAGGGGAGACATAAATTAGGAGTTTGGGATTAACATATATACACTACTACATATAAAATAGATAAACAACAGGGACCTACTATATAGCACAGGGAGCTATATTCAATATCTTGTAATAACCTTTAATGGAAAAGAATCTGAGAAAGAATATATATGTATATATGTATGTATATATAACTGTGCATCAACTATACTTCAATTTAAAAAGTGATATTGTAAAATAAATACATGAATACATTTTTAAAAATTAAAAAAAAAAAGTCTTGTACACCTGTGGCACTGAGGGCTGCAAGGATGACCTTGGAAATGGGCCCCGGCAGTCATCTGTCCTCCCAAAACTTCTAGGCATAAAGAAGTCCCACCCATTCCTTTCAAATGCAATTCCTAATTACACTAGTAACACAAACATATTCTTGTGGTTAAGAAATGAACGTACAGATGAAGTTAAAATCCTCTTTCAACCCCCGTCTGCTCCCTGCCCCCAGTCCTGGACCTTCTCCTCTTTAATCTAATTTCTTTCAGTGCCGGCAAACTCACCCAGGTCCAGCTCCTAAGGGGCTTCACCTCCACAAGAGACTGGTGACATGACACTGGTAACAGACACTCCCTCCTCCTCAGCGTCTTCCCTTCTGCCCCATTCTCTAGCATCAGCCCAATTTTCTCCTCTTATCTGGGACTGACATCTCTGATGTCACATCCTTTGCTTGCCCACCACTCATCCCATCCCATTGCAGTTTCTACACCTGGACCGCCTCTCCCACCCCACAACTGAAACAGCACCTGCTTCCTCCTAGTCAGATTCCACTGCAGGGGTGTAGCCAGGTTTTTCGAGACTCACAATTTATTCAATTGTAGGGGGTTGGGGAGGGGGGCATCTTAAAAAATAGAATACAAACTTCCAAATACAAAGTTGGGCACCAGGACTCAGCCCTCCTGCCACTGAGAGCCCTGCTTATGTCCTCGCCTTCACGGAAACCTGCTTCTGCTGATGGCCTCTGCTCCTCAGCTGGGGAGACTATCCTGGATTTATAGGAGGGTCCAACGTAATCACAAGGGTCCTTATAAATGGAAGAGGGAGGTAGGACTGAAGAGTCACAGAGATGGCAGTGGGCGGATTCAGACTAACATTGGCTGGCTTTGAATATAGAAAGGGCCATGAGCTAAGGAAATCCTTAGTGCTTAGAAGCTAGAAAATGTAAGGAAACAATCTTTCCCAGAGTCCCCAGAGAGGATTACGGCCCTCCTGACAACTGGACTTTAGACCACTGAGACCAAATCAGAATTCAGACTTACAAAACTGCAAGATAATAAATTAGTGTCATTTTAAGCCTCTAACTTAATATCAATTTGTTATAGCAGCACCAGAAAGCAAATATACCTGTCATGCAGGAAATGTGCTCACACAAAACTCTGCAAAAGTTCCTGATGATCTGAGTCCTTGAACCCTTGTCTAAGGACCCCTGGCATAGAGGCCATGGGAATCTGGGGTCTGTCTAGCTGGCCTGCCCAACCTCTCAACTGACCAAACTTTCGGTAGTTTGTCTGTTGGGCAGAACTCTAGCCCCTCCTGGTCGCTGTTCCCAACAGTTCTCCAGCTATAAGGGGTGCTACCACCCCAGCTCCTACTCAGCTTCCAAGGTTTAGCTGCAGGAAGCTTTCCCATGCCCCCAAGTTCACCAACCACTCTCTTCTGGCTCCCTGTCCAGGCTTGTTTATATCTTTTTCAGGCTCTTTCTTCTTCCCTGCCAACTGCCACCCCCCCACCAACAACCCCGCCCCCCATGCAACCTAGCACATGGCCCCCAGGAAGTAGTTGCTGAAATGGATGAGTGGGGCAAGCGGTCCTCGACAGATGGTGGATGGAAAGGGGGAGTGTAGGCCTGAGACGTCGGCTAACCGAAGCCAGGAGTCGGGAGGTGGCGCTCCAGCCTGAGCCGCTGCCACGGTCAAGTGATCCTGAAAGATCGCCCGGAATTTTTTCCACTTCTGTTTCTTAAAGATGCTGCGTACACTAAGAGGGAATGTGAAAGTACTTGGAGGGTCGAAGAGGGAGAATAGTCGTTTTATTCGTCTACTGCCAACAGTTTGAATTACAATTACGTAAACCGGGCATCAGGATGGTAGTCTGGGTCCCCTAGCCCCGCCGCAGTGGCCACCGCTGGGTGAAGGAGTGAGGGGCTCAGTCGCGCCAACCTACACCCAGCAGCGCGGCTCCCAGCTTACCTACGAGTCTTACGACCCGGGGCAGCTTCTTGTCGCGATCCATCTCGGCGCGGGGCAGCAGCGCGGCGTCCTCCTTG